GTGGAATGAAATAATTTAAATAGGAGAAAAACCTATCCATGTTGAATTCTGTACACTACAGAATCAACTTTCAAAAGTAAGGAAGATAATAATAAAGAATTTCTTAGACAAACAAAAACTAAGGAAATTTGTTCTCCATACACCCATCCAGCAAGAAATGTTTTAAAAAGTTCTTCAAAAAAAAAAAAAAAAAAAAGGAAAATGTTATAGATCCAAAACTTATATCTACATAAACAAAGGAAGAGCATTGAAGAAGGACAAGATAAAAATAGAACACTTTTCTTATTCGGGCCAGCAGGTGGCATGGTAGTTAAAGTGCTGGGCTCCCACATGGCCAAATGTGGTTCAAGTCCTGGACCTGGCAGCTTGCTTTCTCTCTCTCTCTGATCAAATTGAATAATAATTAATAAAATTAAATATATTTTTTTAAAAAACCTTTTCTTATTTGTCATTGACATAGGCAATTTGTTCAGAATAGCAGTAATGTATTCACTTGTGTGTGTATACTTATATATGCTTATGTATAAGTGGAAGAACGACAGCAGTGATACAAGGAACAGGAGGGAAGAATTAAGAATATTTTGTTGTAATAAGGTACTTGCAGCACTGTTTACTTAAGTTGCAGAAAGTGAATTTGGACTGGTTGTTTTTGTTTTGTTTTGTTTTGTTTTGTTTGATTTGTTATTAATGTATAATGCATACTCTAGGACAACCACTAAAAAGTAAAAAGGAACGTATAGTTGACATGCTATGATGAAGGAGAAAATAGAATCATAAAACATTCAATTAAAACAAAACAATTCAAGAATGAAAGACAAAAATAGGAACAAAGAACAAGGGCAGTAAATAGAAAACAGTAGCAAACATGGTAGATATTAATCTAACTATATCAATAATCACTTAAACATCAGTAGTCTGAATAAACTAATTATAAGATAGGTTATTAGAGTTGATCAAAAAACAAGGCCCACTCTTTTCTGTACAAGAAACCCACTTTAAATATAAAACACATACAGACTAAAAATAAATAGATAAAGATCAATGCTGACACTAATCAAAAAAATTCAGGAGTAGCTGTATTAATTTCAGATAGAGTGGAATTCATCTAGAAAAGTTATCAGGCGTAAAGAAGGGCATTGCATAATAACAAAGGGGTCAGTTCTTCAAGAAGACATAACAATCCTTAATACTACCTGTCTAACAGCACCGAAATATGCTAGGCAAAAGCTGATGGAGCTGGAAGGAGAAATAGATGAATCCACTATTACAGTTGGAAGCTTCAATCACATATATCAGAAATGGACAGATCTAGCAAGCAGAAGAACTCAACTGTGCCATCAATCAACTGGATGGAATTGACAGCTGTAGACTACTTTATATGATAGAAGAGTACACATTTTACTCAAGCTCAGATGGAACATTCACCAACATAGGCCACATTCTGGACCATAAAACACACTTTAACAAGTATAAAATAATATAGAAGTCATACTGTGTCTGTTAGACCACAATAGAATTAAACTAGAAATCAGTAAGAGAGAGTTATAGCTGGAAAAATCCCCAAATACAGGTGCTCCTTAATTTAGATAGGGTTACATCCCAATAAGCACATCATAAATTAAAATATCGTAATTTGGAATGCATTTAATACAACTAACCTACTAAACAGCATAGCTTAGTCTAGCCTACCTTAAACCGTCTCAAAACATTTACATTAGCTTACAGTTGGAATAAGTCATCTAATACAATGCCTCTTTTAGAATAGAGTGTGATAGTTTCATGTGATTCGTTGATACTGTACTGAAAGTGAAAAACAGAATGTCCTGCTGCCACTGCCAGCATCAGGAGAGAGTGTTGTACCATGTATCACTAGTCCAGAATAGATCAGAGTTTAAAATTTGAAGTGTGGTTTCCACAGAATGTGTATCACTTTTACACCATCATAAAGTTTAAAAAATCATAAGTTGGGGGACCATCTGTACTTGGAGAATAGATAACACACTTCTAAAAAAGTGTCAAAGAAGAAATCTCAAGAGAAATGAAATATTTTGAACTAAATGAAAATACAGTTTACTAAAATTTGTTGGATACAGCACAGGCATTGTCTAAAGGAAAATTTATAGCATTGAATACATTTCCTAATAGATAAGAAAGATCTAAAATCAATCATCTAAGATTTCACACTAGGAAATTAGGAAAAGAGGAGTGAACTAAATCCAAAGTAGGCGTAAGAAATCATAAAAATTAGAAATGAATGAAAATGAAAATGGGAAATTCACAGAGAAATATCCATGAAACCAAAAGCTGGTTCTTGCCAAAGACCATTAAAATTGATAAACACTAACCAGGCTAAGAAAAAGAACGTTGAAAACACGATTAAATTATTAATATCAGAAATGAAAGAAGGGAAATCAAAATACACACCGAGGGTGGATATGTGTGCATGTCCAAAATTCTGAAAGGAGGGAGAAATGGAGAAGGGATTGAGGCGTGGTTGGGAAGGTTGGTCTGTCTCTCTCCAGTGAGCACACGTGCCTTTTGCCAACGCAAATTTAAAAGAAATGAAAGATACATCACTGTAGAGCCCATGGACATTAAAAGAATAATAAAGAAATACTATATGCAACTCTGTGCCCACAGATTTGATAACCAATAGAAATAGACTAATACCTTGAAAGAAACCATCTGCCAAACTCACATGAAAATAGACCATCTCAGAAGACCTTGGATTGTCACTTTCAGCTTTGCTGTGAACCTAAAACTGTTCTAAAAAATAAAATTATTTTTAGAAATGTTTTGATGAGGAAGACTTGTTAAGAAAGTATTTACAAATATTGTTGGGTTTTTTTTGGGGGGGGTAGGTTTTTGCCACAGGGCACATGGCACTCACCAGAGAAAGAGATGAAAGAGGGAGGGAAAGTGAGAAATCACCCCCTCCCAGGGGAAATGGCCATTCCACAATTCCTTTTCCTCCATTCTTCTCTCTGGATTTTGGATATGCACATACACACGCCCAGCATGTGGCCACTGGGTCCAAGGCTCAAACTGTGGTCAGCCATGCGGAAATCTAGCACCTTAACCACTATGCCACTGCTAGCCCCTATATTATTAATTTTTAATAATTATTCAATCTCTAGTTTTTGCTGTTGCCCCCCCACTGCCCCCCACCCACACAGACTTCATCTTCCCTGTTCACATCTCCCATCTTGCACAGTGCCTAGCATATAGCAAAAGCAGCCACAGCAGGTCCTGAACACTGAAGTAGTGGAATCGGCAATGTCCTGGATACTGCTCAAGCGCTTTGCCTATATTGACTCATCTAGGCTTCACAACTCCTTGAAATAAGTACTTATTCCTAGTTTATAAACAGAAACCGAGGCACAGGGAGCTCACACACATTGCCCCAGGTCACACAGTAAGTGGCAGAAACAGAATTCGAAGCCAGGCAGTTCAGCTCCAGAGGGTTCTCTCTTCACCGCTGACCTGTACTCCCTTTCCTTGGAATAGTGGATGAATACATGCGTGAGTGAATGAATCAAGTGAAAAGGCAACTTTTAATATATCATTGGTCTGTTTTCATTTTTTAATATATCATGTGGGGGCCAGCAGATGACTTGGATTCTCACATGACTGAATGTGATTCGAGTCCTAGACCTGAAGACTTGAAAATCACACCAGGCACATGTGTGTGGATGCCCAAAATCCCAGGAGGAGAAGAGGTGCAGCATAGCCATCTCCCCTGGGGAGAGATTGTTCACTTTCCCTCTCACTGTCTCTCTCTCTGTCCCTCTGTCTCTGGTGCGGACACGCTCCCTACAGCAAAAAACCTAACAAAAACAAAGTTATCATGTAGGCCTGCCCTACAGCACAGTGACAGTGGTTAAGGAAGCCAGATCCCACGTGGCCAACTGCAGTTTGAATCCTGTCGCCAGCACCTTGAGAAATTCACTGGACATGTGTGTGTGTCCCAAATTGGTGGAGAGGGGGAAAAGGCCTAGCACCATGAGCATGCCCCGCTGGAGTGTTCACCTTGTCACTCGCTCCGACTAGCACACATGCCCTCTGAGAGTTTAAAAAATGTGTTTATGCAAAATATCCAAACGTCAATCAACATTAACACAGATCATAACGTGTGGTAAAGTCATCGTGAAATATTCGCATAGCTGTGAAAAGAACAAACTGCAGCTGCAGCGGGTAACGGTATATGAGTCCCATAAGCATGAGGTCAAACGGAAGTGGCCAGACCTTAGGAGTCCCTCCTCACTGTCTCACTCCGATCAACACACAGGATGGGACGGCTGGTAGAGACAGAATGCCGGTGCCCTTCAGGGTAGAGACCCGAGCACGGTACGGGGGCTCTGGAACTGGGGACGTTCTGTCATTTCCTCAGCGCTGGTTACGGGGCGTGTTCTGTCTGTAAAAGTTAAATGAACAATATGTGAGGTTTTCTGATAGGTTAAGTCTACTTTAAACCTTTTTTTTTTTTTAATGGCTAAGATAGAAGAGGGTCAAAAGGATTAGGCGTGTTCTGTCTGTAAAAGTTAAATGAACAATATGTGAGGTTTTCTGATAGGTTAAGTCTACTTTAAAACCTTTTTTTTTTTAATGGCTAAGATAAAAAAGGGGGGAAAGGATTAATAAGAGTTGGCAATGCTAACAGTACATATTTCTCGGAAACAGTGCTATGGGTATTTTTCAGATACCATCGGGGGAATTCTCAGGTTTTTCATATATGATCAAATTGTCACATATTGCCTGTGCAGTAAAAAAAAAATTAAATTCAGTTAAAATAAACTTGCCCCCGTCTCAGTCCTGCGCTCCCTCAGCATGAGCTGGGGTGGTGGGTGTTGTCCCTGATGGTTGAAAAGAGACACCTATGCTCCTCGCCACCTGCTTGCCCTCCTGACCTGAGTCTGCCATCTCTCAAGCCCTCTCACCTGACTTCAGCGACTCCTTGTTAGTATGCAGTAGGTTTCTCATGTTCGCGTCTCCTTTCCCAGGCCGAACAGTCCAAAGAGGAGCAGAAGCAAGGTTTGAGCGCAGAGAAGCTGATGCGGCAAGTCTCCAAGGATGTGTGCCGGCTCCGGGAGCAGAGCCGGAAGGTGCCCCGACAGGTGCAGTCCTTCAGGTAAATGGCCCCCGCCCAGACCGGCTTTCCGAAGACCCTCACGGGGTCTGCTGAGGTGCAGCGACAGTTCTTATTAAAATGAGGCAAAAGTCCCTTGATCCCCAGTTTGAAGAAATGCGTTTCCATTGACTCCTTCCTGAGGCTCCAAACCCAACTAGAAGAGTTGGAGTGTTGGTTAAAGCCTGGCCGCGCAAGAGCCCAGGTGTCTCCATCGCTTAGGAACTGCACATCCCACTGAGAAATCTTGACATAGGATACAGAACAGAGCAAAAGAGGCATAGCTCTTGGGGCTTTATTGTTCCCTCCTTGTGCAGACATTCCTCGGGCACACCACGCTAGACCCTACGAAGCAGACAAAGAGCAGTCTTCCCGCTCTCCTGGTGGGGCTCTGCACTGTGGAGGGTCAGGCAGGTAAACAGGCAGGCCCAAGGCTGTGTGGAAAAGCTAGCTGAAGGTCTAGGGAGGGACCTGAGCGCCCGCAGGAGGAATCAGTCTGCAGGGGCAGGTGTCAGGGCCGCCCACACTGCAGGGAGATTCCTGGAAAGGCAGCATTTGCACCATCATGGAAGGAGAGGCTGCATTCTTCAGGCACTAGTGGTGGTCTGTTTGAGCAGGGCATTGAGGCAGGAAGATCAGTATGAACAGCCAGGGGCTTAGGGGTCAGTGCCAAGTTCCACGTGTGTGAGCAGCCAACCGCCGGGTGCACCTGTGGGGAGAGCTGGGCTCAGACTACACAGGCCTTGGCCTCCCAGTGCAGGGGGTTTTAGGGAGGGAGCCAGGAGGGCTCTCCACGCACAGAAGGAAGTGGTGAGGATCGCCTCTGTGTGGGGCAGATGTTAGAGGCGTTGGGGAGAGGAGGCGAGGGACAGGCCCGCAAGGGGAGGCCAGTGTTGATGGACATGAGCAAAGGGCGGGTCGGCGGGTCCCAGTGGAGCGCCTGCCCTGGAGGTGGAGAACGCCGCAGAGGGGCAGGTGTAGCAACGGCGCGCACGAGCTCTGCTTTCGCACGTGTCGGGCTCACAGTGCCGGCAGGCAGCCCACGTAACCGGGGCCACGAGACCATCGTGGAGACGAAATCTAAAGCTAGAGTAAGCGTCAGGACAGGAGATGAAAACTGAGTTTTTCCTCCATGTCGTAGTTCCATCAATGGAAATGGGCTAGAAAGTGGGGAAAGGTGACCAAGAAAAAAGGCGAGTAGGCACCAACCACAGAAGGGCTTGCAGCAAGAGATGTAGGAAGGCCTGGCCGGAGAACCGAGAGGGCATGGCTGGGGCGGGGGAGAGTCAGGGAGGTGGAGGAGATTGTTTGATGCTGTCAAGGCAACAAAAAAGAAAGAAACTGAAAAATCCCCCAGATCTGGGACCAGGAGGCCAGTTAGGCAAGTAAGAGGAGAGTCACTGAGAGGGTTTCGTTTGCTGTGGATTTGGTGTGGGTTTCAGAGCAGTCTTGAGAAGGTGCTTTGAAGTGTGGGGAAACAGGAGCGTGTGGAGCAGAGGGTAGTCAGGAGGCGTGGGGTTGGCTCCGGATGGAGGGGTAAGCCTGAGCGCAAATGCCGGCCATCCTCCCACAGCGTGGTCAGAAGTGGAGGGAGGGAAGCGAGCTGCCGACCATGTGTGGTAGGGCTGGGTTTCCCTGCCTCCCTTCTGCCGTGGGTCCTTTATGGTTACTGCTTGGGTCTTTAGGACCGGTGGGACTGGTGGGCGAGAGGACTCTTGTCGTGGTGCTGTGGTCACTTGAAGAGTAAGTGGCACTGTTGGCGGGTGGTATCGTTCCTGGTTGTCACCAAAATCCAGAACAAAGCATTCACACCCATCCCTGCTTCCCTTAAGAAGCAGACACATTTCTGTCACCGGGCAGATTATGAGAATGGGGGGCTGAACCAGGATGAGAGACTGTGCTGGAGTCTGGCAGCACCCATGAGGATGCGCCTGGTTGCTGATACCTGGCTGGGGTGAGAGACAGGAGTGGTGGGCCTGAAGCGCTAACCCCACACACAGACGTGACGTCTCCCTAGCCTCTTTTTTCTCTTGGAGTCAGAAGCCCTGTGTTTTCTTTCTTTCTTTTTTATAATAATTATTTTATTTAACTTTATTTATTTTAATTCGACCAGAGAGAAACAGAGCAAGAGAGAGAGAAAGAAAAGGCAAGAAAGCCTCCAGGTCCAGGACTCAAACTGTGGTCGGCCATATGGGAATTCATCACCTCTACCCACCAGGCCTCCTGCCAGTCCCAGAAGCCCTGTGTTTTCTGACCACCTGATTTTTCAAAAGAAATTAGGAGTCAAGAATTTTATGTGGGGCCAGCGAGATGGCACAGTAGTTAAGGTGTTGGATCTCACGTGGCCGGTTCAAGTCCTGGACCTAGCAGCTTGAAAACACACCAGGCTCGTGTGCATGCATGCCCAAAATCCCAAAAGGAGAGTAGGAGAGAGGATTGCAGCATGGCCATCCTCGGGGGGGATGGGAGGAGGAGCAGGTGGAAGGTGATTTCTCACTTTCTCTCTCTCTCTCTGGCAAGTACCCACCCTATGGTAAATTAAAAAAAAAAAAATTACGTGAAATACCTTAAATGTAGGCACTGACGGACAATTAATTCAGGTCTTTGAAAACACCATGGTTTTCAGCTCTGCTGACGGCCTCCACTGACACCGTGGACATTCGCTCCTACTTTCTAAAATTTGTATTTATCTCTTAGGGAATCGGACAATCCAGAGGACACTGTCCCACAAAACTCCTTCCAGTGTCCAGTTTTCTTACTCGTCCTTTTCTTCTCGATTCTTTCCATCTCCAGAACATCCCCACTTGACTCTTTGTTTCTGACCCCACTTCCTCCTCTAAACTGTCTTTTAAGGGAAGACCAGTGCTTTATTCTTTTTTTTTTTTTTTTTTTAAGATTACTTATTTCTTGAGAGAGTGAGAAGTGACAGGCACCCCACCCAGCAGGGTCCCCAGAAGTCCACCCCCGACCTCGGCCACAAGGTCACAGGCAGGTGCACACGTGCCTGGTGTGCTCAGGGAGACCCTGGAACACAAACCCAGCACCTTCCCAGATGGGTTCAGCTTCGCAGAGTGTCACATCACCACTGTGCCACCTCAGCTGTCCCCTTACTCTTCCGCACAGCTCTCATCTCTCACGCCCTCGGGAAATGGTGCTTGTTGGCAGGATACTGTGTTTGAGGTGACAGCTTGCAGAAACCTAACACACACTGCTCTCGCCCTCGGTACCTGTGCAATCCTAAACCCGCTTTCTGTGGCTCTCCTAACCTGGAAACCGTATCTTACAGTGTCCTCCTCAGCTCCTCCCTTCAGGCGGTTTCTCCTCATCCCTGCTTCGGGATGCGGACAGTTGGCCTTTGTGACAGTAGCCCTCCTTCTTCCCCTTCATCTGAGACACGATGTCACGCAGCAGGTTGTCTCTGCTTTGGGGTAGTCTCAATGTTGTAGAGTTTCCTGGTAACTTGTCCTTTCCTTTGAGGTCACTGCAAAGTTTCAATATCGTATTCTGGCCCCTTTGAATCCTCCCCTACCTGGTAGGAACACACCTCTACCTAGAGTGAGCCCCTGGTGGTTTAAAAACTGTCTAATCTTAGAAACCCCAGAAGGGAGCTCACAGCTGGGACTCAGGTGTTTGGCCTTACACCAGAGCTGCCGTCCCCAGATGCCTTCTCTGTAAAAGGCAGAGACCGAATTGCTCGTCAGTGGAGTTCCACCCGAGGGAAGGCTGTATCGGGCTCGTGGAGACATCACCGCGGTTCTCGGGCAGTTTTAATGGCCAGAGGGTATTCCCACCACCGTATTTAAGGCGGTGTATTCTCACCCGACTCTAGGGAGAAGATCGCCTACTTCACCAGGGCGAAGATCAGCATCCCCTCCCTGCCAGCGGACGATGTGTGACCCCATCCCTCGAGATTATTTTTCCATCCAGTCACTCACTTAGAGGGTAAAAGACTGAACATTTGTTTGGGTTTTCGCGGGTTTTTTGGTAACATAATTATCAACTCTTGAAGAACATTCACATCAGATTTTCAACATGTTAATTTGTACAATACCTTGAATGTAATTCTTATGTGTGTGAAAAAGAAAAACAAACCAGATGACAGAAATGGGGCAGTCCGGTACCCAGACGCTGCGCGGTATGTGCGCGTCGCTTCCTTTGGGGAGAGCAGAGGAGGACAGGGGGGGTGGGCCTGAAGCGCTAACCCCACACACAGACGTGACGTCTCCCTAGCCTCTTTTTTCTCTTGGAGTCAGAAGCCCTGTGTTTTCTTTCTTTCTTTTTTATAATAATTATTTTATTTAACTTTATTTATTTTAATTCGACCAGAGAGAAACAGAGCAAGAGAGAGAGAAAGAAAAGGCAAGAAAGCCTCCAGGTCCAGGACTCAAACTGTGGTCGGCCATATGGGAATTCATCACCTCTAACCACCATGCCTCCTGCCAGTCCCAGAAGCCCTGTGTTTTCTGACCACCTGATTTTTCAAAAGAAATTAGGAGTCAAGAATTTTATGTGGGGCCAGCGAGATGGCACAGTAGTTAAGGTGTTGGATCTCACGTGGCCGGTTCAAGTCCTGGACCTAGCAGCTTGAAAACACACCAGGCTCGTGTGCATGCATGCCCAAAATCCCAAAAGGAGAGTAGGAGAGAGGATTGCAGCATGGCCATCCTCGGGGGGGATGGGAGGAGGAGCAGGTGGAAGGTGATTTCTCACTTTCTCTCTCTCTCTCTGGCAAGTACCCACCCTATGGTAAATTAAAAAAAAAAAAAATTACGTGAAATACCTTAAATGTAGGCACTGACGGACAATTAATTCAGGTCTTTGAAAACACCATGGTTTTCAGCTCTGCTGACGGCCTCCACTGACACCGTGGACATTCGCTCCTACTTTCTAAAATTTGTATTTATCTCTTAGGGAATCGGACAATCCAGAGGACACTGTCCCACAAAACTCCTTCCAGTGTCCAGTTTTCTTACTCGTCCTTTTCTTCTCGATTCTTTCCATCTCCAGAACATCCCCACTTGACTCTTTGTTTCTGACCCCACTTCCTCCTCTAAACTGTCTTTTAAGGGAAGACCAGTGCTTTATTCTTTTTTTTTTTTTTTTTTTAAGATTACTTATTTCTTGAGAGAGTGAGAAGTGACAGGCACCCCACCCAGCAGGGTCCCCAGAAGTCCACCCCCGACCTCGGCCACAAGGTCACAGGCAGGTGCACACGTGCCTGGTGTGCTCAGGGAGACCCTGGAACACAAACCCAGCACCTTCCCAGATGGGTTCAGCTTCGCAGAGTGTCACATCACCACTGTGCCACCTCAGCTGTCCCCTTACTCTTCCGCACAGCTCTCATCTCTCACGCCCTCGGGAAATGGTGCTTGTTGGCAGGATACTGTGTTTGAGGTGACAGCTTGCAGAAACCTAACACACACTGCTCTCGCCCTCGGTACCTGTGCAATCCTAAACCCGCTTTCTGTGGCTCTCCTAACCTGGAAACCGTATCTTACAGTGTCCTCCTCAGCTCCTCCCTTCAGGCGGTTTCTCCTCATCCCTGCTTCGGGATGCGGACAGTTGGCCTTTGTGACAGTAGCCCTCCTTCTTCCCCTTCATCTGAGACACGATGTCACGCAGCAGGTTGTCTCTGCTTTGGGGTAGTCTCAATGTTGTAGAGTTTCCTGGTAACTTGTCCTTTCCTTTGAGGTCACTGCAAAGTTTCAATATCGTATTCTGGCCCCTTTGAATCCTCCCCTACCTGGTAGGAACACACCTCTACCTAGAGTGAGCCCCTGGTGGTTTAAAAACTGTCTAATCTTAGAAACCCCAGAAGGGAGCTCACAGCTGGGACTCAGGTGTTTGGCCTTACACCAGAGCTGCCGTCCCCAGATGCCTTCTCTGTAAAAGGCAGAGACCGAATTGCTCGTCAGTGGAGTTCCACCCGAGGGAAGGCTGTATCGGGCTCGTGGAGACATCACCGCGGTTCTCGGGCAGTTTTAATGGCCAGAGGGTATTCCCACCACCGTATTTAAGGCGGTGTATTCTCACCCGACTCTAGGGAGAAGATCGCCTACTTCACCAGGGCGAAGATCAGCATCCCCTCCCTGCCAGCGGACGATGTGTGACCCCATCCCTCGAGATTATTTTTCCATCCAGTCACTCACTTAGAGGGTAAAAGACTGAACATTTGTTTGGGTTTTCGCGGGTTTTTTGGTAACATAATTATCAACTCTTGAAGAACATTCACATCAGATTTTCAACATGTTAATTTGTACAATACCTTGAATGTAATTCTTATGTGTGTGAAAAAGAAAAACAAACCAGATGACAGAAATGGGGCAGTCCGGTACCCAGACGCTGCGCGGTATGTGCGCGTCGCTTCCTTTGGGGAGAGCAGAGGAGAGGCAGCGCCCCGTGTGTTTGCCGAGCTGACCAGAACGACTGGCAGAAGTCCCCCCCCGACCTCGGCCACAAGGTCACAGGCAGGTGCACACGTGCCTGGTGTGCTCAGGGAGACCCTGGAACACAAACCCAGCACCTTCCCAGATGGGTTCAGCTTCGCAGAGTGTCACATCACCACTGTGCCACCTCAGCTGTCCCCTTACTCTTCCGCACAGCTCTCATCTCTCACGCCCTCGGGAAATGGTGCTTGTTGGCAGGATACTGTGTTTGAGGTGACAGCTTGCAGAAACCTAACACACACTGCTCTCGCCCTCGGTACCTGTGCAATCCTAAACCCGCTTTCTGTGGCTCTCCTAACCTGGAAACCGTATCTTACAGTGTCCTCCTCAGCTCCTCCCTTCAGGCGGTTTCTCCTCATCCCTGCTTCGGGATGCGGACAGTTGGCCTTTGTGACAGTAGCCCTCCTTCTTCCCCTTCATCTGAGACACGATGTCACGCAGCAGGTTGTCTCTGCTTTGGGGTAGTCTCAATGTTGTAGAGTTTCCTGGTAACTTGTCCTTTCCTTTGAGGTCACTGCAAAGTTTCAATATCGTATTCTGGCCCCTTTGAATCCTCCCCTACCTGGTAGGAACACACCTCTACCTAGAGTGAGCCCCTGGTGGTTTAAAAACTGTCTAATCTTAGAAACCCCAGAAGGGAGCTCACAGCTGGGACTCAGGTGTTTGGCCTTACACCAGAGCTGCCGTCCCCAGATGCCTTCTCTGTAAAAGGCAGAGACCGAATTGCTCGTCAGTGGAGTTCCACCCGAGGGAAGGCTGTATCGGGCTCGTGGAGACATCACCGCGGTTCTCGGGCAGTTTTAATGGCCAGAGGGTATTCCCACCACCGTATTTAAGGCGGTGTATTCTCACCCGACTCTAGGGAGAAGATCGCCTACTTCACCAGGGCGAAGATCAGCATCCCCTCCCTGCCAGCGGACGATGTGTGACCCCATCCCTCGAGATTATTTTTCCATCCAGTCACTCACTTAGAGGGTAAAAGACTGAACATTTGTTTGGGTTTTCGCGGGTTTTTTGGTAACATAATTATCAACTCTTGAAGAACATTCACATCAGATTTTCAACATGTTAATTTGTACAATACCTTGAATGTAATTCTTATGTGTGTGAAAAAGAAAAACAAACCAGATGACAGAAATGGGGCAGTCCGGTACCCAGACGCTGCGCGGTATGTGCGCGTCGCTTCCTTTGGGGAGAGCAGAGGAGAGGCAGCGCCCCGTGTGTTTGCCGAGCTGACCAGAACGACTGGGTGTCGCAGTGTGCGTCCCCGTGCAGAGGCCCTGAGGATGGCAGCAGTGCCGGGCGATGTCGGGGACACAGCAGCTCCCCACGGGAAGTGAGCGCAGGTGTGAGCGCACACGCAGAGTGCCCATCCACCTGAGACGGGTGCCACGCGCCTTCCGGCCCCTGTGCTCACACGCCTTGTTTCCTTAGCACAGTTCCCTTTGCGTCCTTTTATATTGGTCTAAAGAAGCCAGACTATATCAACAGGGTACTGGCTGCAAGAATATGAGACTACAGAGAAACCATGCTCCCGGCTACGCTAAAGATCTTGTGATTCATGACACTGAGGGGAAGGGCGAAGAAAGAACCCCACCAGCTTGAAATACGCTAAAATCACCTCATCACGCAGACTGCTGCTTCTGACTCAGCCCGGATTTACTAAGTTTGCACACTGTGCGCGTCTGGCTGGCACCGGTGTTTTGTCCTCGGTGTGAGAACTGTGTCCGGTAGAATAGGTGACCCCGGTGTCCTGGTGACATGGAGGAAAACACAGCAGCTCTCGTTTTAATAAAACCAAGAGCAGAGGAGAGGAGGTCTTGATTGAATCAAAGTTGCCAAAAGTAAAATCAAAGCATATCAAACGATTTCTAACATCGACTAGAAATTACCTTACAGCACCCATTTTCAGGAAAGTCTAACAGGACTTACGGTAAGCAGTTGAGCAGTCAAGGGAGCAGTGTGCCGGGGTGATTGTTCATTTGAAGTATAGGCTAAATTGTTTAAAAAGAAAGAAAACTATTCTGGATAAACAAGGCTAGGGGTGCAGACTGACCGAAGTGTCCTCTCACCCAGAATTTTAGCTTCCCAACACACACAGGCACGTCGTAAATTAAACAGAGCCTCAGTTCAGCTCTACCAGCGTGAAGGCTTTTGACATATATAATATTTAGACAATTTAAAGCAGCCGAGTTTGTTATACTGGAAGAAGCAATCTTATATAGCAAACTTCATCATTTTCTTTTGTAAGAAGTATGAAATCATCTTAAAGGGATGGTTTCTTTTAAAAAGTTCTGTTCCTAAGCTACAGTCTTCACCAGCAATAATTTTTTTTATTTTCTTAGAAGTATACATCATTTAGACAGTTTATCAGAACAAAGTTCAAAATAAACAGTTTTTGAGCCTAGACCTGTAGTTATTTTTTTCCTAAATGTTCCACCACTTAAATGTAAATTTCTTTGAAGACATAACTGGACACTACTCTGAACAGAAGCCAGCCTAGTGAATTGACTAATTCAGTCCTCCAGGGCTGCCCAGTTTTTTCTGTTAGATTTCTAAGGAAAACTGCAAACAGTACTTTCACCCACGTCCAGGTCAAACGTGAAAGCCAAGTTTATTTAATGTAAAGTGAAGGGCAGCTGTGTTCAGCTTCTTACTTTGACCGTGAACATGTTTATAGAATTACGTGTAGGTGTACCGTACGATTTTATTTTCTTCATTTATTTATTTACGGTCTTATTTATGTTCTGTTTAATATATAGTTTGGTTCTGGCCATTTAAAATGTTTGACATAGAAGAGGCTATATTGGAATATTTACAGCTTTATAAGTCTTCACCAGATTAGCTGTTAACTTTTTGTAGTACAAAAAGTTTCAGGCAAGTATTAAAAAATAAAATCTGTCTCAGGCTGGTAGTTAACAGTTGTGACCAAGATGCTTTTGGTTTTATTTTACAAAATTTGCTCATTTCTAACATGAGACACAAACTTATTTTAATATAATCCTTTTTCACACTTTAAAAATCAGCAATAGTGTTATGTATTTATAGGCAGCTTTTAATAATCCTGTCATTGTCACAATTGTACTAACCCAAATGATTCATAGCGATGAAACGTTTTAATAACTTGATCACAAAAACATATGGGCAAATATGAATTTTAATATTATAAATACTATTTTTAAAAAGTAGGATTTATTCCACACAGGGTAAAAAAGAATGTAATATTTAGTTCTCAAGTTTGAATTATCAGTATGCTATCACAGTTTTGTATATCAGAATCTTAAGTGTTACAGGTACAAAAAAACAGTTGCTAGCCAAGTGAACAAAGTTTAGCCGAATCTCTGTAGCATGCAAATCAAATAAATTTTAATTTTTTTCTATTGCTTTATCTATATTGTATTAAATGTCAAAAGCTCAGGACTAAACTAAATATTTAATCAGGTTAAATTCTGAATATGTTTCTGTTTTAATTTGTCTTGTTTATAAAAGTATGCAAATACATCACATAGAATAATTTTGATTCTGCACTTTCCATGTGTTTGTGTATAGAAAAAATTCAGTGTTTAAAAAAAAAAATCAAGAAACAAGAAACAAAGATACCTATTGCTTAATACTTTATTTCAGTGTCGTTTCTTGTTCGGTTGATTTCCCTGATTGGCGCAAACACAGAGTTCACTTGACCCATATACCAAGCAAACATAAAATCTTTCATGAAGAATTCCCCAAGCCAGCAGTTCTTGTTTGGACTAACATATTGCTGATAAAAAAAAAAAAAAAAAGGCAGAATATTTTCATTGTACAAATAAAACAAAGGGCTCCAGAAGAGACACTCTGTTGTAGCACCTCCTCAGTGGGCCACACACTCTGAAATGAGGCTGCGGTCCCAGGAGGCTCTCGGCACACACATGCAGGTCCTGACCTGCCTGGCCCCAGGGCTGCTCAGAGCCGAGCCAGTCTGGAATGGTGTCCAGCAGATAGAGAGCACAGGTGCAGGGACAGAAGCACATTTGTCTGGTAGATTCTACCCGAATCTTCCAACACACAAGATCGCCCTCCTCTGCTCAGAGGCATGAATGGATGAGGCTGACTCTGGGAAAGACTCCTCGTGACACTGAGGTCTCTGACTGAAAATGAGGTGATGTGTCCCATGCCTCTTGCCTCTAAAGCTTTTGAAGAGCCAGCAATTATTTTTTACTATAATCGGACGTCATGCACTGTAAATACGTACACAACAAAATCTTAGTCTCGTTATAGTTGATTATCTTAAACACCTGAAAGAAGTAAATGATTAGCAGTAATATTTTTAATTGCTGAGATGATTCATCTCTGTATGATAACCTTCAAAGATCCATAAGTATTAATACAATGTTTTATTTACCAGTTCTGTGCAGTCACTGAGCCTTAAGTTAAAATTGAGAGAAATGCATCCACAGTACCAGTATGATTACTATTAAGTCCTGATTGGTTTTGGTGTCAGAGTAGAAGATAAAAGTAGTTCACCAGTCTTAGAGAGAGGTCATAGCTTAAGAAACTAATTAGCCAAAGTGGGGGAAACTACATTTTAGAAAATCAAAAGCCTCGTGAGTGGGTGACCGTGTAGTGGGAAATCCTACCAAATCCAGAGTGGAGCAAGCCTGACCTGAAGAGAAGATCCCATGGGTCCCATCCAGCTTAGATTTCCAGGTGAGTGCTTTTCATCTCCAAGTGCTGACGCTGGTCTTGCATTTCTGCCACCACATAGTGGCTGGAAGCTAGAGGAGCTCGGGTCGAACAGGCCGCACAGTTAAGCAGACACCCTCCCAGGACAAGAGAAAATCCAGCAAACCAGCCCAAAAAGAGGGCTTCTCCAAACTCCCACCTGGGGACAATCTCTGGGATAGCTTCATCCCAGAACTCCTGAACCGTCACGTGGGCGACCCAAGAGACCGGAACAAAGGCTGTGATTCCTGATGTCCAGAAGAGAATTCCTCCCAGGATTAGCATTCGTGTCTTGAGACTCTGCTGTCTCTCTGCAAGTCTCAAACAGTCCAGACCAAACCCAGAGACCAGCAGGCCCAGAAACCCCAGCCCATTGGACAGAACCATTAAAACCCTGGAGATCCTGAGTTCGGCAGGCAAAGCCAAGAAAGACTCAAAGTCCTTGCACTGTGTCCCCACTTCCTCCTGGATGACGCAGGCTTGCCAGAGTCCCATGGTCCAGTTTTCCATTTCATTTAGCTATTTATTTAAATAGTTACTCGGAACCTCAAACAGAGAGTTAAGTTAACCCATACTCACCACGTTGTCATCACATCTATGGAGTATTACTGTTAGGATATACTTTAAATCATGTCTAGATTACTCGTAATATCTAATATGATGTCTACACATTACTTCATTGGCGTGGATTTATCGCAGTACCTGCAAATACCTTCTGTTTATTTTTACACCAGTTTATTCTCTTTTCTCTCTCTCCACTATCATTGGCTTCTCCCAAATATACACTCATTTTACTACTTAACACATATCATTTTCTTTGTAAATGTCTTTGTAAAATACATTTTTTCCAATGTGAATTTTTTTTAAATGTTTTCGCCATAGGGTACACATGTTCACTGGAGAGAGACGGGGGGGTGGAGGGAAAGTGAGAAATCACCCCCCAGGGAGGGTGGCTACACTGCAATCCTTCTCCTCCATTCTCTTCCTGGGATTTTGGGCACACATGCACACACGTCTGGCATGATTTTCAAGCCACCAAGTCTGGGACTCGAACTATGGTTGATCATATGGGAGTCCTGTGTTTTAACCACCATGCCACCTGCAGTTGACTTCTTTCTTTTTTAAAAGAATTATTTACTTAATTTTATTTATCATTGCTATCATTTTTAAATTTGCTACATTACATGCATGCTCACCAGAGAGACAGAGGGGAGAGAGAGAGAAAGAGAGAAGGGGAAAGTGAGAAAGCAAGCTGTTAGGTTCGGGACTCAAACCTTGGTCGGCCATGTGGGAATCCAGCGTCCTTAACCACCACCACTCTACCTGCCGGGCCCGACACTAGTTTTTCCTTTGCCTAAATATCCTTCTGTGCTACGGAAGTTAACAACAGGACTTTGCAGGGTGAAATCAACATTTCTGCTTATCCCTAAGAAATAGATCTCCATGTTTATGATTTCTTAGTTGAACTAAGGAAAATTTTCATTGGGCAAATGAACTGTCAAGGTCTAGATATGAAGCAAGCACCTTCGGAATTTTTTTTTTCTTCCATAAGAAGCTTTTAAGGGATGAGATGATAGAGGAGATTGGCCTGCGCTTTAAATCTGAGAGTATCACGAAGCACTAAAAACCATCAACCTCATAAAATCCTGTCTCACGAGAGGCCTAGTTGAATTTCTTCAACAAACCACTTCTGTTCAAAGACCAACGTTCTTGTTGAAGAAATTACATATTGTGCTTGTCTTAGCATGTGGTTTTACTAATATAGAGCACTTAAAAGATTTCATTCACGGGGGCCAGCAGATGGCGAAAATGTTACATCGCTGGGCTCCCACGTGTTGACCACAATTCGAGTCCCAAACCTGCTGGCTTAAAACTCATGCCACACACGTGTGTGTACATGCCCAAAATCCAGAGGTGATTTCTCACTTTATGTCTCTCTCTCTCTGTCTCTCCGGAGAGCACATGCGTCCGATAGCAAAAAATCTCTCTTAAAAAAAAAAAGATTTCACTGAGATCATCCATTTTTTCCAAAAGGAAACAGAAACTAATGGCCATTTCGGTCTACCAGCAATAGAAACCTTTCTCATGTAATAGGAACACGTTCAAACATAAGACCACCTGTATTGGACAACCACCAACACATACCAGTGTAACTGACCAGACCAGTGAGATATAATGCTTGTCATCATCATTTTCTTTTAAAAATAAGATTTTCTGTCATTCTCCAGATTCGGTGGGGGGCTGGGGGGGGGAGTCTGTATATAGAAAAATAGTTAACGAACGAGAAAGTGTGAGCAGCATAGATTTCATTAGATAACAAAGACCCCTTTGTCATACTGGTTGAGATAGGAGGTGTCTCTCTGGTTTTGTCAAAGTCTTACACCGTAGGGTCTGCAGTTCCATCTTCCAGGTATGGACCCTGAGTTTGTATTTCTGCCACCGCATAGTGGCTGGAAGCTAGAGGAGCTCGGGTCGAACAGGCCGCACAGTTAAGCAGACACCCTCCCAGGACAAGAGAAAATCCAGCAAACCAGCCCAAAAAGAGGGCTTCTCCAAACTCCCACCTGGGGACAATCTCTGGGATGGCTTCATCCCAGAACTCCTGAACCGTCACGTGGGCGACCCAAGAGACTGGAACAATAGCTGTGATTCCTGATGTCCAGAAGAGAATTCCTCCCAGGATTAGCATTCGTGTCTTGAGACTCTGCTGTCTCTCTGCAAGTCTTGAACAGTCCAGACCAAACCCAGAGACCAGCAGGCCCAGAAACCCCAGCCCATTGGACAGAACCATTAAAACCCTGGAGATCCTGAGTTCGGCAGGCAAAGCCAAGAAAGACTCGAAGTCCTCACACTGTCTCCCCACTTCCTCTTGGATGACGCAGGCTTGCCAGAGTCCCATGGTCCAGTTCTCCATTTCATTTAGGTCCAGATTACGGTTCTTCCAATGCGGCAAATAGGTTGTGATAATAGATAAAACCCATCCCAGCAAAGACAATGAAAGTCCGACAAATTGCATCGCTGTCCTGAAGACTAAAACCATTGCAACTAATCTTACAATGTTGCCACTTCTATAGGAACTGCTGTCTGCTCTGGTGGACAGTCGTGTGACGATCTTGGTTCTATGCGGCCTGGAATATAAGCTTTGGTCATTAACTCTTCGGGCACCCTGAAATGTGGTTTTGTTCTTGAATATAATGTTTCACGTAAAGGACGAAGGACTCTGTTAAAACTATGAGTTAGGCTTTCTGATAAGGATTTGATCTGTTACCTTCCAATTTGCTTGGTAAAATTATATCCCCAATGCTTGATGATTATAAGTCTGAGGATGAACAAAGAGGGCTCTATGACCCCTCACCCTAAAATACAACAGAAATCTTTGTGTTTCAATATGGATTAATTAGATTTTAAGTGGTGATAAAAGGCCAGCTCTTTTCGACAACAGGACTTCATTGTAGTAGCTGAATCTGAGATTTCAGGGATGCAAAACAAGGCTTTGTAAAGAAAGGTAGACTGTTTCCCTATAATCTTTATTCTTCTCGGACTTCCTTAACCTACACAAGCGCCTGGCCCACGTTCTTGAGTGTCACAGGGACTCAGCTGGAACTTGGCAGCAAGAGTTCCCTCAGATTCCTTTGAAAGGTAGAGCTGGTTCACCAGGTTAATTAAACTGGGAAGGCCTGAGGCTGGTGCCCAGAGGCACCGAGTGAGGAAGGGCCATCCTGGTGGACGACTCAGTGTAAAGCATGAGGCCCTGGTGTCCAGGGGGGTGTTTTCCACCCATTGGTATTGCGGCCACAGAGGGTGATCGGCACCGGGAACCCAGGTTCCTGTCAGTTCTGAGACAAAGGTCTCTGGTAGGAAAACACCAGCCACAATGGGGCTGACCTTCGAGGCCTCATCTTGTTCGTTTTTATTTCGGTTTAGGCCACACCTTGAACGCATACTTACGTGGAGCGTGACCCCTCAGAGAATCCAGGGCCTTACACGCTAGGGCCAGAAAGCCTCCTCTGTAGGTTTCCAGGGCTGCTCTCTCTCTCCAACCTGGCCCACCTCTGCAGGGACCCTGGGTGTCCTGCACCCACACAAAGCAGGCACGATCAAATGGGCTGACGGAACATGCCATTCCTGAAGTGGCCACTGCCCTAGGAGAGTCCACCCCGGTGAGAGAGAACCCATGCCCGTCATGTGGCAGCAGTTGAGCATGGTCCAGGGTCAGATGATCTTCTAGATGCTTCCAAATAGGAGGTTGGAGGGACAGAGCCCAGATGCCGGTGTATCCAAAGTAACCTGAGAGTCCAGTTAGAGGAGGTACCTTCTTCAGCTTTCCCATCATCTAAGTTTTCTTTTTTTTTTATAAGAGAGATTTTTGCTCTAGATCACATGTGTGCTCACCAGAGAGAGACAGAGACAGAAAGCGAGAAGACATCCCAAGGGGAGATGGCAATTGCTTCTCCTCCATTCTCCTCTCAGGACTTTGGGCACACACACACACACACACACACACACACACACACAGAGGTGCATTCAGTATGAGTTTTAAGCCCCCAGGTCTGGGACTTGAACTGCAGTTAGCCGTGTGGGAGTCCAGTGATATAACCATTACACCATCTGCTGGTCGCCCCCCCAATCTTGAGTTTTAAAAAAGGTTTGCCACCAGATTCTTTTTAAATGTATGCAACTCTTCATAATCTTTTAGCTTTTATGTTGATGCTCTTGGTGTGCTGAAATAAGTTGTTCCAGCATACAGGGCAGGATATAGGGTCTAGAAGGGGTTAGAGATTTGTCTGGGGCCTCATCACCAGAAGGTGGGATAATAGTGAGCTGGAGCTTCCCTTCCAGGGGCAGGCAGGCCGACTTCACTAAAAGTCTTGCCGAGATATCTCGATATCACATTGAAACTTTTGTTTTTTAATGTCATGGGCTAGGCTGCTCAGTGAGGTCCTTAGCGCTGTATCCCAGGACGTTGGAGCCAAGGGTGGTTATCACCTACCAGAGGGCATTTCCGCCATGGTGGGTGTTGGACCAGGGTTACCACTAAGTACCCTCCCAACTTATCTGTTCTCTCAGCAGTTAAAAAAATGAGCACCTCCTACTGACTAGGCACCAAATGTTGAAGACAACCAAGAGCACTTTGGACGCAGTCCCTACCCCTGCCCTGAGGGCTCCATTTGAGTGGCAAGGTCATCAGTGGACAAGTAAGAGAATTCAAACAAACAGAAAAGGCTGTGGTGTGAGAGTCCCGGCAGGGGCAACCCTGGTGCGACAGTGTGGGTATGAGTCCACTTGTGGAGGAGCTGGAAGTTGAAGACAGCCGCCAGATGCAGACCTGGGAGGGACCCATCTCTCCATTTCTGTTTGTGGATTAGCTACTTGGACCACGCTGCTCCCAGAGTGGGAGGGAGTGACACTCAGCCAGAAGATGCACGTTACCCCACGAGTTCAGCATGTGGGGATCGCACGATCATCTCAGAATATTTGTCTAGAGGCCAGCGAGTGACATGGAGGTTAAAGTACTGGATCCAACATGGCCGACTGCACAGTTCAAGTCTCAGGACTGGTGGCTTGAAGAACAGGCTGGGACAAACCAAAGAGAATTTTTTGATTCTTTAAAAAAAAAAAAAAAAAACACTGGACTCATGTGCAAGCCAAAAATCCCAAGAAGAGAATAGAGGGGAAGGGATAGCGTGTGGCCCTGGGGAGGGGATCTCTCTCTCCCTCTGGCAAGCTCATACACTCTGTAACAAAATACACGCATGCTGCCCAAGATCCTGAGAGAAGAACGGAGGAGAAGGGATTGCTTTGTGGCCATCCCCCCTGGGGGGTGATTTCTCGCTTTCTATCTCTGTCTCTGTCTGTCTGGCTGGCTAGTGCACACGCCCTATAGCAAAAACCTCTCCAAAAAAAAAAAATATATATATATACACACACGCATATATAACTCCATAAACAGAAATCAAGAAGTCTGCAGACTGAGAGACTGAAGGATAGCAACCCTTCCAGTTAGCCCGGGACTATCACACACTCTGAGAAACCCCTCAGTCCAGGGCAAGGGTCCATAAACATCCCATGGTAACCATCTCAAAACTCGGTCCTGCGAAACAGCAATCACGTCTATGCATTTTGCTCGTGAACTTGCAGTTTGGATGTGAGGCAGTAGGGACAATTTATCTCTGCCCCAAGCAGTGTGGGCTCAGCTCCCAGGGGCTGCACTCCGGTGGCTCAGGAGGGTGAGGACGCCACGTCCTGTGGACTGTGAAGTCCATGTGGCCTGTGCTTCTTGGTGGAGGTGGCTGGATTTCCAGGACCAGCATTCCCAGGAAGGCAAGACGGTGGCCATATCACCTTCAATGGCCTAACCTTACTCTGTCACTGAGCACCCACTGCCAGGCTCTTAGCAAGGAAGTCACAAAGCCCTGCCCAGCTCCAGGGAAGGGAGCAGAGGTGCCTTCTCTCGATAGGGGAGTAGCGAGGTTCTGGAAGAGCTGGTGGGCCTGGGCATGTTATTGTGGCCATAATGGGAAGATAAATCGACCAGGAAACGTAAGTCAGATGGCCTGTCACTGAAGCCGTTGACCACAGCTCCTCCTAGGAGACGCCCGGTAAGCACTACATGGAAACGATGACCTTCCTTTCCCTTCGGTTTTATGTTGTGCTCGAGTTCAGGCCGTCTGGGCTATGCAGACCTCGATAGGCTGTCCACGAACTCCTGCCACTGCCAAGCTCCGCAGCTGCTTCCTCAGCCCTTTCTTTTTCACGTATAATTTTATTTTACTGTAATTATCATTGTTTGCTGTCAGAGGGCATGTGCGTGCTTACCAAAAAGAAAGAGAGAGAGAGAGAGAGAGCAGCCCCACCTTCACCATGGAGAGAGAGAGAGAGAGAGAGAGACAGCAGCCCCCACCTTCACCATGGGGGTTGGTCACATCACAATCCTTTTTCCTCCATTTCTCCTTCCTGTCAAGGTTTTAGACACACATACACACGCATACACATACATGCCTGGCATATTTTTTAAGATGCTGGAGCCAAGATTCAAATCACAATTGCCATGCAGTATCCGGCTCCCAACACACAGACAGCCACTGTGGGCCCAGCCCTCCCTCAGACCCTTCTCCTAGTCCAGGGCTGACCAGAAAGGAGCCCTGGGCTGCTTCATCATTCAACCCAACATGGTCAGGCTCATTCTCTGCTACATCTAGGGCTACAAAGACTGTCCTCAAATAAATAAAGAAAGAAAAAACAAGATAGGAGGTCACCGGGTGGCATGATAATCAAGGCACTAGACTCCCACATGGCTGACCACGGTTCGCATCTCGGATCTGATGGCTCACTTTCTCACTCTCTCTCTGGTCAAATTTTAAAAATACTACTAATAAATAAAATCAAATAAGAAAAAGAACAACAGTGTGTTAGGTATTCCAATCAGATGGTACTAAGGAAGCAGTGGCTATTTCAGGAGTGGGAGGCAACCAAAGTTGTCCTGAGAGAAAAGATTGCTCCTGAAAGATGGTGGGTGGAGACGCTTCAGCAGCTGGAGCATGGGGACAGTGGTGGTGGAGAGTGAGGTGACCCACAGGGAACAAGGCTGGCTTGGGGGCTAGGGATGTAAGGCAGAATCATTTGGATGTTAAAGCATGGGTAGTTACAGGCTTTGAAAGGATTATCAACCAAGGCGCGACATGGTCATTTTTACATTTTAGAAACTTGACTATTGGTTCCGGGGTGAGATTTTTTTTTTTGGTGTCATTTAAGATTCAAAAATTTAGGGACCAGCAGTTAGCGTAATGGCTATGTCACTGGACTCCCACATAGTCGACTGCAGTTCGAGTCCCGGACCTGGTGGCTTAAACCTCACACCGGGTGCATGTGCGTGCGTGCCCAAGATCCCGAGAGGAGAAGGGATTGCAGCATGGCCATCCCCCCTGGGGAGTGATTTCTCGCTTTCTGTCTCTCTGTCTCTCTCTCTATCTGGTGAGCGCACAGACCCTATAGCAAAAACCTCTCCAAAAAAAAAAAAGATTCAGAAAGTCACGCCAACAG